CTCACCAGCTTCATCTCCGGGTGAGCTCCGACCTCGATCACTGGACCACACAAGCTATTAATCGAGCTGGAGGCATGAAATCCGCGGGCGGCACGAGCTCCATCATCCTCGCTACCATCATCTTCGTCGTCTTCATCCTCATCGTCCGTGTAATCGCAATCGAAGTTAGCGCCGCCGGATGCGGCGTGAATGAGAGCAAGCATAGCGTAGTTCTTTCTCAGACCCTGGACAGAGTTCCCAACAACAGACACGTGGCGACAGCGGGGACAAGTGAGGGTTGTGTCGGAAGAAGTAGAGAACATCTTCGAAAGGCAATCTTTGCAGAAGCCATGGCCGCATTGAAGCAATAGAGGAACTCTCTCATCTTCATTATACCGCGTGTGGCACACGGAACAACAAGGGACCTTAACTCTCCCAACCATGAGAGCTCCAAAAGAGAAAGCCCTAAATTTAGGTCGCGAGATCAAAGAGTAAGAAGGGAGTGAAAGACCAATCAAGCAATCAATCAGTAGAGAGAGTTCCGCAGAACATATCGGGGAAGAAGACTCTGTAAAGTCGATCCAGATCAAGGAGAGAAGAACAGATCCATGGAGAAGAAAAAAGGTGAATTTTGAAAGGTAGATCAAAAATTGGCTGGGAAAAATCAGACACGAGCAAGAAGAATTAATTTTGTAAGAAAAATGTGAAAAAGGTTCTTCTTCAGGGTTTTATAGGATCATTTTATTTTATTTTTTCATTTTCCAATTTTGTTTTTTAATTTTTGGGTGAGTCTCGAGGCTTCTCTGGTTTCGTCGGTTTTGACGGGTGGGTGCCGTCACTCGTCAGCAGTTGAGCTCGAACCCGTTTTCTGACTCTCCCCAAAAAAGTAATCGTCAACCATCAGTACGAACCACCTTTTTTAATCACCACCAACTTAAACCATCAGGGAAAACAAATAATTGTCATTTTTACTGAGATAGATTTTTACCAAGTAGCTTTTGAGCCAAAAACATTTTGTGTTGTTGGTAGGGTAGCATACCAAATGTCAAATAACAAATACACAAAAAAAACCACAAACTACTTAGGTAGAGAATCTATGATTCTATTAGTAAGTTGTTTTGATTTAATAACACTAAGAAGTAGTAATAAACTCCTAGTTCTTCTATATTTCATGGACCGATAATTTCACGCCCGAAAAGATGGTCGTTCTCGGTTGTTTGAGATGAGATTTAGCTAAACTCTCAAGATGGGTTTGAGTGGTTTTGGTTCATCCAACTTGGGTTTAACAATCGCCGTTTAATATCTAACGGTTTCAACTTTATGCACTAATGATTCTCCATTAACCAAAATTATTCCCAAAATATATATATATATATATATATATATTTCTTCATAAATTGTACACCATCGATCATAATAAAGCAACAATTCTTCATTTTTCTTTTTCTCCCGCTTTATACTGGTCTCTTCCTTCTTCTCCACCTCTCTAACTACCCCTTTCCTCAAACAAAACCCTAAGCCATAATCCAAGCTTTTCTCACTCAGCAATGGCACCCATTGATCCACACTCTTTCACCGATTCCTCTCATCCTCTCACCACGCATGTCGCTCTCTCCCTTTACCTCGATTTCAACACCTCCATCATCCATGGCTCCGCTCTCCTCACTCTCTCCTCCGCCTTCTCCGGCGAACTCTCTCTTGATACTCGCTGCATTTCCATCCATATGGTCCTCGATCCTCTAACTCTCGAGCCTCTCCCTTACCGCGTCTCCACCACACCGGATCGAATCCGAGGCACCGAAGTTGTCGTAGTCCTCTCCGGTCAATCTTCACTGCTAATCGTCTACTCCACTTCGCCTTCCGCCTCCGCTCTCCAGTGGCTATCTCCGCTTCAAACCTTCTCCAAATTGCATCCCTATGTCTACACGCAGTGCCAGGCGATTCACGCCAGATCCATTTTCCCATGCCAGGACACTCCTGCCGCGAGGATTCGCTACGATGTCGTCATGAACATACCGAATTCGCTCTCTGCCGTCATGTCGGCTCGCCACGTCCGTCGTAGGCTTGCGGTTCCTGAGGAGGCTAAACATCTCGAGGCGGGGTCACTGGGTTCGTCACTGTGGTGTGGTGAGGATAGAGTTGTGGAAGAGTTTGCTATGGAACAGCCTATACCGCCTTATCTATTTGCGTTCGCCGTAGGTGAGTTAGGGTTTCGGGAAGTTGGACCTAGGACTCGGGTATACACAGAATCTGCCGCCGTTGAAGTTCTGGATGCGGCGGCTCTGGAGTTTGCAGGAACGGAGGATATGATCAAGCAAGGGGAGAAACTCTTTGGAGATTACGAGTGGGAGAGATTTGACTTACTGGTTCTGCCTCCGAGTTTTCCTTATGGAGGGATGGAGAATCCAAGAATGGTTTTCCTGACGCCTACTGTAATCAAAGGAGACGCCACTGGAGCTCAAGTTGTAGCTCACGAGCTCGCACATAGCTGGACTGGGAATTTGATCACTAACATCAACAACGAACATTTCTGGTTGAATGAGGTATTTTCTTGATCAGCTCTTCTGATTTCCCAAGTACTCTCTGCCTCAGTTTATGCTCAAGATGGAAAAGATGAGTTAGCTTTGAATTGTCCTGTGCTTTTGCTTCTTTTAGCTACAAATTAGGATGTTTAACTGTGTGTCCGTTTTTAGAGTTTGCCTTGTTGATACTTATTTCATGTTCATGGCAATAGGGATTTACAACTTACGCAGAGAGGAGAATTGTGGAAGTTGTTCAAGGCCCGGATAGAGCTACTCTGAACATTGGCATTGGTTGGAGGGGTTTAACTGATGAAATGGAACGGTTTAAGGACAACTTGGAGTGCACTAAACTGTGGAACAAACAAGAAGGTGTTGATCCAGATGATGTGTATTCTCAGGTCCCATATGAAAAAGGATTCCAATTTGTGTTGCGAATTGAACGCCAGGTTAGTTGAATTGCTGTCTCAACTTGGGTGTTTTGTTATTTAATGTTTACAATAAAGATCATCTATTTACTTTGAAATACTTTCAGATTGGAAGGACTGCGTTTGACGAATTCCTCAAGAAATACATTGCTACTTTCAAGTTCAAGTCAATCGATACAAGCATATTTCTTGAATTCCTGAAAGCAAACATCCCCGGCATAGAGAAAGAGATCAACCTACAGCTGTGGACTGAGGGCGTTGGTATTCCAGAGGATGCATATGAACCAGTCTCAACCATTTACACAAAGATCATATCCCTGGCAAAAGAGTTTAAGGAAGGAAGGATGCCAAGTGAGGATGACGTTGCTGAGTGGAACGGACAGGAATGGGAGCTGTACTTGGAGAATCTTCCTAAATCATGTGAACCTTCTCAGGTACTCTTTGCACTTCCTCTAAGATAATGGGAAATTGCTAGGTGCATTAGACTTAGATTGAACTAATCGATAAGCTTTCATAAGGAGGAGAAAAAGGCCTAACTAACGGTCAGTTAGGTTAGCTCAATAGTTACTCTTGGAGTAATGTGGGGCTACTGAATGGTTGTGGAAAGCGTATTGGCTTTGCGAGAGTTAAGATTTTATCTTGTTATCTTGTTTGTAAACGACAATGCAAGGTCAATAAAGGAAAGATTGGGAATCAGGTTCCAAAACTATGGCTAACACCCACTTTGCTCATTGGTGAATCAGGTCATGGCCTTGGACAAGCGGTACAGACTAGCAGAATCGAAGGACTATGAAGTGAAGGTCTCGTTTCTGCAGCTTGCAGTCACATCCAAGTGCAGAGAGTACCATGGGGAAGTGAAGAAAACTCTAAAAGAGGTAGGAAGGATGAAGTACCTGCGTCCACTCTTCACTGCTCTTGCACAAGCTGGTGGAACAGAAGAGAAGCAGCTGGCAAAACAGGTGTTTGCAGAAGCTCGAGAAACTTACCACCCAATAGCTCAGGGAGTGGTTGAGTCTATCCTCTCTAAGTACATCTGAACAAGACCCTTCTTATAGCTTGAGAGCACTCCAAAAAAATAACATTTTAATAAAACCCAGTGACTAGTGACTGTAATAAACAATTGGTGCTTGAGAGTCATAAACAAAAAATTGGAATTGCATTTTGTTGCGTACATTACATTCTCCAAAAGATGATTAGTACAGCTTACTTAACTATGCATTACTCTCATCCTCCAACTTCTTGATATAGGCCATAAGCACCATTATAACCTCTCTTGCAGGTGCTTGTAAAGTAGTGACGAGATTAATGGCCGGAGATTGCAGAGCGCCGAGCATCTTAGCGTAGACCTCAGCACGAGTGGGCATGGTCTCGAGAACTTTAAAATTGTCGGGAGCGTAGAACTTACCTTCGAAGACGGCGCCGGCAAAGTCATTGTCTTCAAGCTTGCGTTCTTTCTGGAAACTCCGGTAGGGCTTGAGGGCGGAAGGGATTTCATCGGTTTGGACGAAAAGCCAAGCGTTCATGCCTTTCATACAAGGCTTGAGAGCTTCCCATTTGGTGCCTTCAATGGCTTTGAAGACCAAAGTGTTCTTGGCGACGATGAGCTTCGTGGTGTCGGGGAGAGTTCTCCGGAGGTCTTGAAACTGCTTGACGGTGAGGCCTTTGTAGTTGATGGCGGCGAGGAGGTGGCAGTTCTCCAGGTGAGACTTGACGGCTTCGACAGTCTCTTCCTTCTTGTTACGAGACACGGCGGATCTAATGACCGGGAGGCGAGGGTAGTTTGGGGAATTCGAGGTTTTGGGTGTTAGGGTTGAGATTCGCTGGTGACAGAGAGGAGACAAGGAAGAAGAGAAGGAGAGAAGAGCCACTTCCATTTTTGCTCAGAAGATGAGGAGACTGTGTTTCTTTCTAAGCTGTGTGGAGGAAGGCGATAGATGAACAACAACACAATCTACTAAGCAATTTCTTTTTTCTTTTTTTTTTTTTTAATATAAATTTATTAATGGAAAATTCATGGATAAAAGGGTTAATAGACGGAACTATTAAGTCCGTCTAATTGCACGCAAACATACAATTTTGTCCTAATATAAGTTGTTGTCACATTATCCATTGTTAAACTAATCAGTAACTAGAACCAAAAATGATTGTTCTACTCTCTTTCTAGGAATTATGGAAGATGTTTCGTCTCAAACAAATAATTTCATAATTTACTACTCGAGTTTATAATTTAACCAGTGAAAAAAAAACAGATAAAAGGAAGTAAAGGGAGAAAGAAAAATTTCTTTATGCAAAATATTGCTGTATGGCTTTGTCCTTATGGTTCGTGTTTTGTGGATGCGAGTTAGAGAGTGTCCCAATTAGGGATATTGGAAGTAGCTTCATTCACCATCTTCACAAGTGTCACCTGCAAAACACATCACACTTGTGTTAAGAAAAGTCATTCACTATATATTATGGTTCTCACTCTCACACTTCTTGTCAATGATTGACCACAAACGAAACCGTGACTCCTAAAGATATTGGAACTACCCTTTATAGATTTATGCATATCATCTCCCCAGAAATAAAACCATTGCAAATTGAAAAATTACATCAAACTAAGGATAAGCATTTGTATATGAAGTTGCTATCTAGACTCGGATTCCAATAAACCAATGGATATGATGTGAATAAGTTCCCCTATGAGCTATGGATGACATTGCTGCAGTAACTTGTAGTAAGTACGATCAGATTAAAGAGGTAAATATATAACATACCACACTTTCCGGAACACCGGGAGGCGGTAAGGACATGTTCCTCGGAGGAGGACCCCGCAAATGTGATCTCTTATCAAATCGCCACTCTCCAATTTTGCCATATGTCAGCTCACCCTATAATTAACAGTCAGTAATGTAGTTAGTTTATAATACATATGAAACTGATATAAGTAAGCTAACACGGTGTTCTGATGGCATATCATTGAAACGTCCTAATTTAAAGACATTGCATAAGATTGCAGAAAATTTTAGTTACTAGTTTCACGAGAATCTAGTAAAGAAAACTTAACTAAACTAAGCAAAAACAAATGACCAAAAGGTTGCATAAAATAATGAGAGAATACTTGAAACAAATGACTCAAAATGGAAGGTCTCAAATTTATCTGCCAAGAAATGTCAAACAGAAATCACCTTCATGTTGTAATCGCATCCATAAGTGTAATGGATGATAAACTTCCCCTTGGTAGACAAATCCCATGGAGGCTGAAAGATATGGTGAGAGCACTTAGGAATACAGAGCAGAGAAACGACTTTTATAACTTTGACAAACAACTTAACAAAAATAACTTCGACATAGAATAGGTTATCACTAAAGTAATCAGCACAACGTCGATTCTTACCTGAAGCATGAAATCCTTCCGAAGTATGTGACGCACCCCATGTATAGCAGATGCAATTGCGTAACCATACCTTATCAAACAGAAAAGAGAAAGAATAAAGTAGTCAGTTAACAATGATGGGATTCAAAAGGTGGAGAGCCAATTTATAAATAAACATTATGTTTCCAGTGCTAACATTTCCAACACCCATCCAAATGCCTTATCAGTTTCTGGATCGTTTTTCATCGTCAGCGAGACATTCATCCATGTAGGAGCAATCTTTTCAAGTGATTCCTGCATAAAAAGTGTATATGCATGTCAATATTAACTTTAATACATGAGCAGAACAAACAAAACATATTCCTGGACAAAAACATCACATCTAGCTAAACGCCTCTAGAAATCTTTGGGGCCCAAGTAAAATGTGTGAGACACAGATAAAACACAAAGAGTCACTATAGCACAAACCTTGCTTATGATAACAGGAGAGTTTCCAATGGGATCGATATTTGTTACTGGCCCCATCTCCACTGGATAATACTTTCTGACTATGTTCTCGTACTTTTCAGGTGTAATATAGAAAAACGGAAAAGCCGCTGGAAATCCTCCAACAGCCAAATTGGGAAGGGGGTTAACAAATACATGATCAGGCTCTGCCATGAGCACATAGCTGCACCAACATTAAAATGAAGGAGATTTAGCAAACAGTAAAATGTTTGTTGGAAGGAAGAGAGACAGTACTAACTCTTCCTTGATGGTAGCTCTTTCAAGCCATTGCACGAATGCCCATGGTCTATTCAAGACAACATACCCCTAAATACAGGATGACAAAAAGAGTGATTCAGTGATAAACCATCAACAAAACTGAGACCAAGTGGAGAAAAGGGAATAAATAAAATGAAATTGTTACCCGATCAAGACCTGGGGGAAGAGGATCAACCACAAATGTGGGTATTTCATCCATCAAGTTATCGGGATTACCGGAATGCAAAATGCGGGTGAAGCCTCCCATATCAGAACCAGGAAGAGCTTTCTTCTGCTTATACCAATAATACATAATACGACACTGCCACTTATTATAAGGTGCATCTGTAGCTGTTAAGGCAACATGAAAAGGTGCTGGAGAAATCTTAGCCTTCCTGATATTTAGAGGCATCTGAACAACAGGATCTAGAAGTGGACTTCCATCTGAATTACTCACACCAGATCTATTGTGAACTATAAGTGTCAGAAGATTATATGTGACAACAAAGAACCCAAAACCCAAGAGAAACAGAAGCAAGCCCGATGCTTTGCCCATTGTTTATCCACAAATCAAGCTAAATTACAAAAGCAAACTTATTGGTGATTCCACTACTGCCTTCAAGCTTAGCAGTGGATCCTTGGAGCTCAGAAATTCATTCCTGCAACCAAAGGTGATGGTTTTAGAAAAAAATGAATCGTGGCAAGCTAAGCTGATGCAACTTTGCAAATTGAAAACCCAACCATCAAACATTATGAGAATTAAACGATTAAAATCGGCTAAAGCTCCAGAGATGCATAATTGTTGACACAATGAATAGATCAATTAGAGTGTGGAATTCCAGGAAACGTAAAAGATCTGAAGAAGAAGCAGAAGAAACCTACAATAATCAGAAGCGGATTCTCGGAGTGTGACGTAAGAATTAGAGATTCGTAGAGAGAGACCTAAGAGGGAGAATAATCAAGGGAAGAAGTGTCGCCGGAGAAGAATAAGAGATCGGAGGAGTAATAAAATGAGGGAAGCGGTGTTGACTAACGGTGCGTCATTAACGAATTATTAATAACAATCGTCCAAAGTAATTTGACAAATGGTGTCTTTGGATCGTGCCAATGAATATAATTTTAGGAAAAAAAAACAACCATTATTATTAAACTTTTGAAAGTGCAAGTGTGTGGCAGACCACGTTTTAGAAAGGAAAAAAAAAAAACTATTTAAACAAAAAAAAGAAATAATACGTGAATTCAAAATTACCACATAATTAACATGTTTTAAGATTGCAATATGGCTTAAAGATGGGCAGCTAGTTGTGGTTTGGTTTTCGACGTGCAATTTTATTTGAGAACTAGTATTTATTTATATTTGTCTTCTTCATATTTCGTGTGTGTTTGGAAAGTGGAAACGTGCTCCTCGCTATTGAGCTCGCAAGAATCTGATCGTCTAAAAAGTATTAACGTTACGGATATATTTGTCTTGGACCTCTTGATTGATGGCACCTTCCAGTTCCACGCCTAACATTTCCCTCCCCACTTTGTTTATTGAATATTCGAGATTTCGATTTCTCTTGTTAGTAAACTACAGAAGCTTCAAATATATAGTAACAACAATTTGATATTCATGTGCAACCAACAACGGTAGCAATACACATCATACATGTTAATTAGAAAAACATCCTCATCTTATAAAACAAAAAAATTCGTAGCTTGCTTCCAAGGAGTCAAATCTCCCTCCCATACAAAATTTATTCCATAAATAAAAAACTTATCCTCCAACATATAAATTTCCCCTTGCTCCTCTCTAATTTTACGGGAAATTGATTTCATCAACATCTTTTTTTTTTAAATCCTGAAACTGTAAATCGAGAAAAAATAAAGAAAGCCAAAGCTTAACAGTGACCGCGGGATTTTAGTACTTAGGCACCTCCAGATCCATACTTCTTGCCGAAGACGATCAACTGCAGCTTGTCGTAGCCAGCAAGCACACCAGCACCTGCAACGGCACGCAGGATGTTGGCACCAGCACCCTTGAACAGAGACCTGGCTCCTTCCTTCTTAAGGATCTGTGAGAACGCATCCATCGAACTTTTGTACTTCACGGCTTCACCTGATGTCATCATCATTCTTCTACGAACCGTGTCAATCGGGTAGGACGCAAGACCCGCACCATTGGTGATGAGCCACCCAAGAGCAAAACTAGCAAAGAAGCTGTCCTGAAATATCCAGCAAGGAAAGAGATAACAACATTAGAATCAAACAAGGCAGGATCCCTGATTTCTTCAGCTGTCACTTTATGGATGTCAAACAAACCTGCAAGTCACCAGTCAGGAGGACAGGCTTCACAGAGTCGTACAGTCCAAAGTAGAGACCACGGTAGACAATGATACCAGCACAGGAGATGTTGAACCCACGGTAAAGTCCAGCAATACCATCTGACTTGAGGGTCTTCTTGTAGACATCAACTAAACCATTGAACTGCCTTTCCCCTCCCTTCTTGGCAGACTTGGAGTCATTGGCAAGACGGGTACGTGCATAGTCAAGAGAGTACACAAAGAGAAGGGAAGAGGCACCAGCAGCACCTCCAGATGCCAAGTTACCAGCAAACCACTTCCAGTAGCCATCCTTGTCTTTCTTGAAGTTGAAAAGCCTCTTGAAGTAATCTTTAAATGCAAAGTTCAAGGCCTAGCAAGTGAGAGAGACAGATCAGTAACCAAAACATCATATATCACTAGATATTTTTAAAGAGACGTGAAACTTAACCAACCTGAGTGGGGAAGTAACGGATAACATTGGCAGTGTTTCCTCTCCACAGAGAACCAAACCCTTCATCCTTAATTGTCCTGCCGAAACAGTCACCAATACCCTTGTAGGGCTCAGAGAGCCTTCCAGCCTTAAGCATCTCATCCTGGTTTTGAATCAAAAGCTTGACACGCTCAATGGGAGCAGCAGCAGTCTTTGACACAGCAGCAGAAACACCACCCATCAGGAAATCAATCGCAAAGTTAGTAAATCCTTTCTCTCCTGGAGCTTGGACAAACACAGGAGAAGTAGTTGTTGCAATCCGAGATGCAGCCGCAAGAGGATATTGGAATGCAGCATTGGAGTAGTTTCCGTAAGCTGCATGCCTCTGGTATGTAGCAGGCCTCTGGAAAGCCGAAGCATAACCACGAATGTCCTGAGAAACACCGGAACGCAAGATTTGGCCAGAAGCCTTCTGCAGAATCGTGGGGTGCTGAGTCTGTTCAACCATTTTAACCTCTACAAAAGTAAACAACCTGTAGTGTAAGACATAATGTGAAAAAACCACAAAATTAATGAAAAACAATGGATTGGTTTAAATTTGTGAAATGATGTATTAGCTGCTCTATACAAAACCTAGTAACATCATATCAATCTAATGTGAAACCATGCGACTCAGAAACTAAACCATGAAAGCAGAAAATTTAGGTTAACGACGTCCGTACATCAGTAACTAAATGGCGGATCATTTCTGAGTTTTACACAAGCAGATCTATTGTATCAAAACATTCACACGATCTAAACCATGAGATCATTGACACGAAACGAAATCTATATCATTATACCTTGGTGATATAAAAGACTGTGAGGCAGATCAATAAAATCAAATGAAGAACAGAGAGAAACAACGAGATTTAAAGCGATAGAGACCTCAGAGTAACCAAAATTACCTAAGAAAATCGATGGAGAAGCGAAACTGAGGGAGCGAGAGATTCTTCGCCCTTTCTTGTCGGAGCTGAGCGAAGAAGAAATGAGAGAATTGTGGCGTAGAGGCGAGTTTTTGACACGACGAGCCTTTTATTGGCTCCAGAAATAGGGTCACACTAGAAAGAATCAGATGTAACGCTCCATCATATGCGCTCCGAAGCTGTAGGACCGTTAGATCATCGAGATTGAATTATGGATGGATTTTTAACCGTTGATTATGATTACAACAGGAAAATAATAGTAATATGGAAATATACGACTGCGTTATTGGCCGTAGATCTTGCTACCTATTTGGCGCCGGAAATCTGGAATGTTATTGGCCATTGACGGATTTTTGTTAGTCAAATGTCTACACGGTGACGTTTAAGCAATTTCTTTAGTTTATTCTTTTGGTCAAACCTCTTTAATATTTTATTTTGACCAACAATATATTTTATTAAAAAAAAAAAAAAAAAACACAATCCACCAGTGGCTTCTCGCCTCCTACTCCGTCGGCTAGGGTCGATGAACTGTACAAAATCTAGTGGATCACTGGTCATCTTCGGGGCCGGTGTCATACCTTTTGACTCAGAATTTCAAATGTCCAAGTGATTCAGTAATGGTTGGAGGAAGGCTTGTGATGCTGCCTCATCCAAATGTACGTATTTGGCTTTAAATCCTACGCGTCTTCTATCTAGCTCCCAAGTATGATATGTCACTTTCTTGTTTTCAGCTCATGTTTGTTCATAGGCATGTTGAAGATGGAAAGGTGCAGGATCAGTCATAGCTCGGTCATGTAACTCTTGTATCTGAAAGCTTTAAGAACAATATCAAGGTTTTGATTATAAAAGACTCTCTCTTTTATTGTATGAAACTAACTCAAAACATACATCCAAAACCTTAATCTCTCAAGTTCTCTCTACAAATCATAAACTCTCATATCTCCTAATGTCATAACTTGACCTCTATTTATAGGAGAATACAATTCCTAACCCTAATAGAAATTACAACATATTAGATAACTCCTAATATATTCTAATATTATCTCTAATTATCCATATCTTGGTTTTAAACAAAAGACTTTTTCTTCAAGTTATCTTCAACTCTTCAAGCTTATTCAACAATCTCCCTCTTAAGCTTGAAGTCTTCAATCCTCACATCTTGAACACCAATGAGATCCCTCATTTCTTTAAATCTGATTCTCCCAAGAGCCTTTGTAAGTATATCAGCTTTCTGAATTTCTCCGGGAACATGATCTACATCAACCAGTTCGTTTTGAATGCATTCCCGAATGAAATGATATCTTTTGTGGATGTGTTTGCTCCGGCCATGGAAAACTGGGTTCCTAGTAAGTGCTATGGCTGATTTATTGTCAATAAGAATCAGTACTTTATCACATTGTTCCTCAGTTACTTCATTCAAAAGTTCTTGGAGCCAAATGGCTTGTTTGGCAGCCTCAGTAGCAGCCATAAACTCAGCTTCACAGGATGAGAGTGCAACAGTTTCTTGCTTCTGCGAGCACCATGTTATAGGACAGTTATTGAGATAAAATATGTGACCTGTAGTACTTCTTCCATCATCCTCATCAACATTGTGACTACTGTCACTGAATCCTATTAATCCTGTTTTGTTTCCTCTGCCAAAACAGAGTCCATATGATCTAGTTCCCTGCAGGTACCTTAGAACTTGTTTCAATGCAGCTCCATGAGACTCCTTAGGTTCGTGCATGTACCTGCTCAGAACTCCAACACAGTATGAGAGGTCTGGTCTAGTATGAAGTAAATATCTGAGACAACCAATGCTCCTTCTATACTTCTTTTCATCAATATTTTTTTCTTCTGGTGCTTTACTTATCCTTAAATTTGCACACATTGGTACATGAACTGCATTGCAGTCTGCAAATCCAGTTTCCTCCAGGATTTTCTTTGCATATCTTTCTTGGTTTAGCAGAATACCATCCTCACTCTGAGTAACTTCAATTCCTAAGTAGTAAGTGAGCTTTCCTAGATCACTCATCTCAAAGTTTCTTGCCATGCCTTTTTTAAACTCTAATATTATTTTCAAGTTTGAGCCTGTAACAAGTAGATCATCCACATAGACAGCTACAACCAGAAACTCTTCTCTTTCTTTCTTTCGGTATATAGACGGTTCTTTTGAACATTTAGCAAAGCCTAATTCCAGAAGAATAGTGTTTAGCTTTGTATTCCAAGCTCTCGGAGCTTGTTTTAATCCATAAAGGGCTTTGTTTAATCTGTATACTTTGTTTTGACTTCCTTCTGTTACAAATCCTTCAGGCTGTGAGACATAAACAACTTCTTTCAATTCTCCATGGAGAAATGCTGTTTTTACGTCAAGGTGGTGTATTTCCCACCCATTAGAAGCAGATAAAGCAAGAATGAATCGAATGGTCTCTATACGGGCCACTGGAGCAAAGACTTCATCGAAGTCAATCCCATGTTTTTGCACGTATCCTTTTGCCACAAGTCTTGCTTTGTATTTATTTATGCTCCCATCAGCGTTTCTCTTAATTTTGAACACCCACTTTAGACCTATTGGTTTTGCTCCTATGGGAAGATCCACCAAATCCCATGTTCTGTTTTTCTCTATAGAAGTAATCTCTTCTATACATGCATCCCTCCATTCTTTTTGATCTTTTAGCTTTAACTAGTAACTTCCCTTCTCTGTCACAGAGTGTTAAATGATCATCTCTCATTCTAACATCACATCCTGACTCAGTGGCCTGACCAAGGCTCACAATGTTGCTTCTTAAATCTGGGATGTAGTATACATCATTAAGAGTTCTTCGATCTCCATTCTTAGCAATAAACACAATTGAGCCTTTTCCTTTGATATCAATCCGAGAATCATCCCCAAATCTAACCTTGCCTGTAATTGATTCATCAATTGTTGAAAAGTAGGCTAATATTCCTGACATATGGTTGCTAGCACCATTATCCAAGTACCAAACGTTCTCATTATCTGAACTTGCTTCAAATTTGTTTGGAATAACATTTTTTTCATTTAGATATACGATCTCATGCATCATTAGTGCGTCTGCTTCTTGTGTTTCAACATTCTTAATTTCTTGAATCTCCTGAAGTTTAAGTAACCTGTCCGGGCAATCAGAGGCATAGTGTCCTAGCTTGTCACACCTATAGCACGTTATCTTACTTGCATCTCTGTAATTTCCATTGTTCTGTTGGTAATTATTATTTTGAACATAACTAGAACGTCCTCTTCCTCTACCACGTCGGCCTCCTTGACTTCTTCCTCTGTTTGAGTACCAGGGTTGTGTTTCAGAGTTTGCATACAGCAATTTACCCTGGTCCTCTTGATTGTCTTCTTCATCACAAATCCTTTCTTCATAGGCTTTTAACCTACCAACTATATCTTCAAAAGTAGTTGAATTTAGGTCAAGAACTTGTTCAAGTGCGGCTATTATGTGTATATATCTTTTCCTTGGCAAACCATTCAAAAATTTCTTAACAAGTTTTGGTTCTTCAATGTCATATCCAAGTGATGCAGCCTTTGTAGATAATTCTGAGAGTCGTCCTGCAAAATCATCTATCTTCTCTGTTTCTTTCATCTTTATTCTTTCAAGCTCACTCATTAGGGTTTGTAGTCTTGCATCTTTAACCCTATCAGCTCCTAGGTTTCTAGATTCAATCGCATCCCATATCCTCTTTGCAGTGTTTAGTTTCCCGACTTGCAGCGTTAGTGCTTCAGGGATAGACTGCAGAAGCAGAGCACTGGCCATGTTGTTCTTGTCAGCATCCGTTGATCCTGGTTCTATAGCATCCCAGACTTTATGAACTTTTAGAGCCATTGTCATGCGTATAGTCCAGAACGTATAGTTTGTAGGGGTTAGCATCGGACATTTGATAGAGGAGGAGCCTCCTCCTTCTTTGTTGTCACCTACTGGGATCAAATCTCCCATGTTTCTTCACAGATCACCTTCTCGTGATCGTGTTTTGTTTGTCCTCGTGATCGTGAACGATTCAAGCTCTGATACCAAATCTTGTATCTGAAAGCTTTAAGAACAATATCAAGGTTTTGATTATAAAAGACTCTCTCTTTTATTGTATGAAACTAACTCAAAACATACATCCAAAACCTTAATCTCTCAAGTTCTCTCTACAAATCATAAACTCTCATATCTCCTAATGTCATAACTTGACCTCTATTTATAGGAGAATACAATTCCTAACCCTAATAGAAATTACAACATATTAGATAACTCCTAATATATTCTAATATTATCTCTAATTATCCATATCTTGGTTTTAAACAAAAGACTTTTTCTTCAAGTTATCTTCAACTCTTCAAGCTTATTCAACAGTAACAACTATTATTTATCAAGCAAGAAACGTACGTTCGCTTCCGGCCAATTTTTTTATTAAACAGTTCAATGGCTCACTAATTTTTTTATTTAGGATCAGTCTTCAAATTTTCCAATATGTTCCACTATGAATACGTGAATTATGTGTGTGTTTTCATTCACAATTCACACACACTCTGTCATGATTTTTATGTTTGAAATAATCATTGAGCCATTGACACAACACAACAACAATATTTGAAGAAACCAAGTTTGAATCATACATGTACATGTGGGGGGTGTATTGGAACAATGATTTTAGAAAATTTTGGTTTTTTGTTTAAATCACCTGTTATTCAATTAGTGATTTTAAAATCTCTTCCCAAATTCCATGTTATTGAAACTAAAATTTATGTAAAATCATTCCAAATCATTTCAAATCTCATGTTATTCAATCATGAATTTCTAAAACCCATATCAAATCCACTGTTATTCAAACTTAACAAAACTTTTTTAAACAATTATTGAAAACAGATTTGGTGAGACTTTGGATACATTTTTAGTGTAAAAATAACAACTAAACAATCACACCTCTAGAGGTGGTATTTGATTAAAAACAAAAAAAACCAAATAAAAACATGTGGCTAACAAAACTAAACTAGTGAAACAATCTCCTCTCTTCATCCTCGTCTTCATCTCTCTCGATCTCGATCCCTTGAACAAAAATACATAAGAGATCCTAAAATCAAAGTCCCCATTTGCCTTGTTGATGGTGATTCCAATTATTTTTAAGCATGTGAATGGTTCATTGATATTGATTCTACGGTCTGTAATTTTTTAGAGAATCCTAATTTTTCTATTTTTTGTGCTAAAAATCTCACCAAATCACCTATATATTATCTCTTTAAAAGCTCATCAAATCACAAATTATCTTTCCTTTTTTAAAATAAAAATAACAATTCCAC